AAATGCAATTTCATGGCCGGATACTGACAGGTTGGACACCATATTCCAAATAATTTCTGGGAAGGTGCCCAACTTACCACCTTGACCACTGCCAAAACCTTTTTTATTTAAAAGCATTAGTGGCGCCCATGCCCACCAGTGTGGCCTGCCAGAGCAGAGTGTACAGAACTATAGCAGCCCAGCCAGGAAGCTGAGGGAGAGGGCATGATACAGTAAGGATGGGGTAGGGTAGGCATAGAGAGTGCATTTGGCCTGTCAAGATCAAGGGCCACACAGGAGGCACTGAGTTTCCTGGATGTTAACTTTTCACACTAGTACACCACATCAACAAACGCGTTAAATGAGCCCTACTAACACTTTATTGTTAAGTTGAGCCCATGCTTTGTGTGGGTCCCCTTGGCTTGCCCTAGCGCCCTCTCCCCATGAGGCCCTATATGACATCTAGCCCTTGAGCTGCAACAGTTCCTCACATTTTGGTATGAGCTTCACAACATGAACTGCTGGTCAGGCATGTCCTAAACAACTGTGGGGATATGGCTGATCTTTTTCTAAGGCTGAGTCAGGTTTGGGAAGGAAAGCCACAGAGAGAAACTATCAGGGCACCTACTGTCAATGTGACTTATCACTATTGGTGCTGACCTTGGTCACCTGGCTGAGGTGTGTGTCAGTTGCCTCACTGCAACGTTGCTCTCCCTCCTCTCCATACTGTCTTCTCTGGGAGGAAGTCATTATGCACAGAGAGAGATGTCCACACAAATAATTTGGACTTTTTCTGCAAATGCAATTTGCCTCTTCTCTGCTATTTACCAATTTATCCAACCACTAATTTCCATCAGTGTGGATTCGTGGTTACAGTGAAATTCCACCTTATTTATTTTATCTCTCCATTTTTCCACTCTGACCCCTGGGTCCATGAGAGGCCTTATCTTGTGGTTGCCTGAGTGCCTCTGAGCTCTGGTCCCACAGCTCTGGATCCAGGATTGGTCCCAGGGAGCCTGAGCTCCTTTTACTGGAGAACAGCATCAGAAACCCAGACCTGGGTATGAGTGTGCTGGGTGCTACTGGGTTTAGTTGCCCAGCCATATCCCCTCAGCTGATGGGGCAGGAAATACACATGAACACTGTCCCATGTGTGCCAGCACCCCGCCAGCACCTCCGCACGTGCCCATCTGGATCTGCAGCAAGGGAAACTCGTTCATAGTGATATCTCCAACTTCAATGCTATCACATGAATTGTTCTAACACAACGCAGTCCTTACCAGGAACATGCCCATCCTTGACACTTGCTCCCACCTTCCACTGCTTTATTTCCCTGGATATTCACAGCTCACCCATACCCAAATCAGCACAGCTCCAACATCCACAAAGAGGTTGCCCCACTTCCCATCTCAATGCCAGCACCCCACCCTCTATCCCTGGGTGCAACTGCATGTCCATACCTCCCACCACCTCATCCCACTGCCAGGATGGCTGCAAGAGCAGTTCAGCAGTGTGCCTGCTCTGAACCTCCCTCTCCCATCCACCCCAGGACTAACTGCAAAGCAGCACTTTCCTCTCACTCCCACTCACAGGCAATGCCTTGCTCCCTACTGCACTTTCTCTGCAGCATCTGTTGCTACCTGCACCAAGCCACGCTTGCCATAGGTCCCTTCAGCACACATCCACCTCTCTTCTATAAGAAGGCAAGCGCTGTGGGGATGGGACAGCTCTGACTTGCTTCTCACGAACTCCAGTCCTAACTCATTGCAGCAGAGCCTCAACTCAGATTTCTGGAACTGAATATCTTAACAAGGGAAAAATAAGGTTGGTGACCAGACACTAAGAGAGGCATCACCCTAGTTAGGTTTTTTTTCTGGGCCTGGCCTGTACTGGCCTGCATTTCACATGGCAGCTAAAGGGGTTGTTCTTGTTTTACTACCCTATTCCTGACCTTTAAAAAACTAGGTTTCTTTCTGAACTAACTACAGAACAAGAAGACACGTGCCAGCTTCTCATCCATGGTCAGTTCTGAGTCACCACGTACCACATATATGAATGTGCCTCCATCATGGCGGGAACTCACAATGCCAGAATCCTTCTCACACACTCTCCAGTGAGGACAGTGATGGTCAGACCTGCCTCTTTATAGCCACCACTTACGAAGACACCTCTTTCCTGGCTGCTGCCTGGCCTGAGACTAAACCACAAAGGTCACATTTGTGGCCTTGGGACACTGCTGGAGGAGCCAGGCTGGGAAAAGGGGACACACTGGAAGGCTGAGAGGCTGTTGGGGCTTCTTCCCCTTGCATATGCTTTGAACCATAGCAAATAGCAGCTCTCAAAAGGAGGTTCTGCTCAACCAGAGCCCAGATGGCAGCCACATCAGCCTGCCCCAGGCCATCCTCCTTCTCAGGTGGTCGTCCCACATAGGGAGGAAAAAACAGTGAGCAGCTCTGAGGCAGCACAAAGGAGCTGGGCCACAGTGAGAAAAGAGGGGAAACAACAGAGTTTAACTGAGGGAGCCCTTGCCAAGCCCCGAGCTACCTGAGCTCATTACTACCACAGGACAGCAATGTTCCTCCTGGGTCACAAGGCTACAAGCACCAGGCCCTGTGTTCTCAGTCCCACAAGGAGCAAGTGTGGCTCAGCCTACAACCAACCAAGCACAGTATGCCCACACTGTTCAACTTGAAGCATCACTGGGCATCTTGTGACTGTTGAGCATGGACCTGTTCTTCACTCCCTAAAAATGCTGCCCTCATGCCCATCACCCTTCATGTCTGTGTTAGGTCATGTGTCACATTAGAGAATGGGCCAATGGGGCAGGAGGGTAAGGACCAGGAAAAAAAGAAATAAACCAAGAGAACCTAGCTGAATTGGCGAGAATGATAGATTTAGGAATGGCCTGAAGGGGGGAATGCCTCCAGCAAAGCAAGTTTTATAAAGGACCCCAAAAGTGGCTCTCCCAAGCTGAAGTTCTTCGAATTGAGACTACCTGGTTCACCAGGACCTCCCACACCCAGTACCAGCTTCTGTGATAGATTGTGCAAAGCCCAGGAGAGCAGGGACCGTGCTCCCCCAATGCTGTTTCCACACTAATAACCATGTACCTCATCCATTTCTGGACCACTGTCTAGTCCACGGCTTGAAACTGGACAATTGCTTATTACCAGCCGTCTACACAAACATATCCCAAGCTACCCTACAAGGAGTTAAAGAGTTAATGAAACCGAAGGGCCCAGCTAATAAACACCCCAGTTTAGAAGACAGTAATTAGCCAACTGCTAGCCTATGATTACTGTGTATTTTCATTGCCACAGATGCAATACAATTTCATGGCTACTTGGCCTTGCAAAATAAAAATACTCCCAATTTTTAAGATACGAAAAGGTTTATGACCAGGGTATTATAGGTTCAAGAATGAGTTCATGGTACAAATGAATCAATTCATGACAAAATTTAATTTCAGGAAAATTAACTCAATGATGAGGCCATAATTGTGCTCAAAGTTTTAATATCTATTAGGAATTTTAGGGAAGTGACTCAGGACATGGACAAGTCAATCCATCTCCTGGCTCCTCAAAGTGCAACTGACTTAATACCTAATTTATTCATAATGGGGCAGTATTACAAGAAACTATGTGTTTAATGAGAAGGGCCTGGGTCTTGAGTAGCCTAACCAATCACAGAAATGGAGAGCATTTGCAATTTACAGGATATTAAGTTTTGTTTCCTATGATCTTACAGAGAGCTGATCAATGGCACTAGACTGACAGCTACTTTAACCAAACAGCCCCAGGTAAACCTTTATGTCCCAGCTATTGCCGGAGATTCTGTAGGTGCCAAGAACTTAAAAAGGCAAAACCTCACAAAACCAGTAACACTTTCTGTAGTGAACAACATCAGCCTGTACTAGCTGAAAAAGTCACAACATAGACTTCACAATACAACCATGAAATATGGGTGATGGAAAGAATAAAAAGGACAGTTTTGACTCAGTATCTGTGGGGCACACAACCACAGTGACATCAGGAACAAAGTGTTATGCTGTTGTTCAAGATGACTAACATGAAAACAACTCAGGATAAGGGATGGTGGGCATGAAGGCCAAGCAGCACCCTGTCCTGTGGGAAGGACACAGCATCTTGACCAATGTCCCATGGGAGAAGGCCCTCGCTGCCTGCTCTAGGGAGGACCCCATCTCCTATCACCATCTTCATGAACACCATGAATTAGCTCTCAATGCTGAGCCCACCCCAGTACCTGGGACTCATGAGTACCGCATGGAGCCCCACTTCCAACCTTCCAAGGCAGTGCCCACTTTGCAAATCTCAAGCACACAGTCCAGGAAGGGCTACACTTGCAGCATAAAAAGCCTACCTTTTCAAGTGTAGATTGGAAACCAGCCAGTTGCTGCTGGCCTTGGTGCTCTGCAGATCTGCTTTTGGGACCACATTACAGTGCTTACTATTTGCACTGATGAAAGCCGCCACCAAAACTCCACAGAGTGCACAGCTTCACAGGCCTTCCAACCAAAATGAAAAGGTGCGAGAAGAAGTAATGGACACTTGAGGGAACAAAAGCAGCTTGTTCCAGAAAACTCAATCTCCCGAACACATGAATTTCAACAAAATTGGTGAAGAGTAGAAAATTTCATATTGCACTGAATCTGTCTGTGATTTTTAAAATCTTTAGTATAAGTAACTCAAAACATAGACAAAGTGTGAGTCTTGAGTGTGAAGTTTTTGGCAGAAGTAGCTCAGACTTACAGTGGAATTACAGCATTATCCACCACACTCCTCTGCTCAAAATGTAAATTGCCATTACCAACCAGTCAGGGTGAAATCCAGTGACAACAGAATAATACCAAGTCCCTTTCCTTGTTCTACATTAGTCAGATACCAAGAAAACCGACATGGACTTTTAAAAGATCACGTTTCAACTGAGAGGACACCATGAGGAGCTGGAGCTGAATGTGACAGGGAGAGGCCCCACACAGGAGGGTGCAAGGGAGAGCTCACCTGGTAAGTGTCCCACAGGCGGATGGTACAGCGAAGGGGCACCTCCCTCATCAGCAGGTTGTTCATCCAGCGGAAGGCAAACTGCAGATACCGCACCTCATGCAGCTCCAGGTGCCGGTGGACTTGCTCTGCACCAAACAAACATAGGCTGTCAAGAGAGCCTGATGGGCGCCATTTCAGGACCTGTGCCATTCTATCATCAAGAACACTCCCCTCTCCCCTGACCCCCAAGGAGCAAAGAACTAACTCTACTAAGGAAAGACTTTACATTTTTCTCTTCCTTAAGGAAACAATTGATGACGGTGATGGTGATGATGATGACAAAAGCACCCGCCACCATGGATGATGCATGTACACATAAAGGGTACTTCACACCCCACCATCCAGGGGCATAATAGGGATCCCAGATTCAAGTGCACATCTGTGTGGCTGCAGAGCAGGTGCTATTTCCTGCCCCAGGATAGGCCCAACAGACTCAGGTTGGTGTTTAGGGTGAGGGGCCTCAAAGAAAAGGCAAGAGATAAGCTGGACAGCTCCCAGAGATCTCATCCCCACCCAGACCCAAAGGACATGTCCCTAGCCAGGCCAGGAGGCCTCTGGATTCCAGGCCTGGGCACCCTGAAGCCAGCTGCACTATATGGAAAAGCCAGGTTCCACCAACCACCATGCCCCCAAACCCTGCCCATACCAGCCACAAGATCCTGCCTTCTCATCATGCTGAGGCTACCAATTCCACAGCCTAGGGGTGAGATCTGCATTCCCTGCCTTGAGCCCTCTGCTAAGCTGTGTGCCACCTACAGAGAAAGGTGACAGCCTGACAGCCTCAGGGCTGCAGCTCCTGGAAGACTTTCCAGGAGGCAAAGGTTCTGGTGGCCAGGTGGTTACATCCCTTCCCAGCGTCTGCCTGTGCAGTCCACTGAGGGGCCCGGGAAAGATGAAAGCCATTTCATAAAAACAAACCATTACTGCTTAACTGACTCAGGTTATGAGTTGACTCTCAATGCTTTTAATCAGCCCCCACACCAGAGTTGCTAAGAACATTCTCTCTACACACCTCTTTTCTTCAATCAACCTCCTGTGCTGCTTTCCCTCCCTCCACGCTTACCTTCTTCTGTAGCCTGCCCCAAGAAGGAACCCTTTAAAAACTTTACAAGGGTTCTCCCTGCTCCTACAGAAAGTTCTAAAAATGGAAAATGAACAAATATAGGAGAGGAGCTAGCTGTCTGTTGCTTGTTGGTTTGCACTGATGCAAATGCCTAACCTTGTTTCTGAAACAAGGCTTTCCTAACCACTGAAATGAGAAGGGTTGGAATGACTCCATTCTGAGACAGTGCTGCATCTTACATGCAGTGACTCCAGCAGATGTTATGCGCTGGTCTGGCTGGGCTCCAGGACTGCTGTGGCTATGAGGTGATCTGCGGGAGAGGAGGCCCTGCTGGACAGCCTGGCCCCAGAGAAGCAGAGGAGCTTGGTTTCTGCAGCAGGTCCTGTGTTGTCTCTGCTCATTGTCATCTCCTCCTCCAAAACATGCTGTCATCAGCTGACCAGAACAAGCTGGGGCAGGACACCTATGGGGCTGTGCTAAGGTTTAGATGTACTTTGTCTCCTCAGAGTTCATATGATGCAGGCCTGATCCTTGTTATGGTGCTTTAGAGGTTGGGGAATCTTTAAAAGAGGGGGTGCCTAGTGGAAGGTCCTTAGGTCATAGGGGAGCTGCCCTCAGAAGAGACTCACGACTCTGCTAGGTTCTACAAGAAGCTGTTATAAAAGAACACACCTGGCTGCTCTATGGCTTCCTCTCTTGCAATGGAATCACTCCCTCTTACATACACCCTCAACCACTATGACATTATCTGCCGTGAGATCCTCACCAGAACTAAGCTAATGCCAGGATCAGGCCCTTGAAACTCTAGATCTGGGAGCTCAATGAGCCACTTTTCCTTGTAAGTGACCAGTCGCAGGTATTTCTTTATAGTATCAGCATATGGGCTGATACAGGTGGGTCTGGAGGAGACAGTTGAGGGTGGGTCCCAGTTAATGCTATGACACAAATGCAGTAATTCAAGATCAATGCAAACAAGACAGTCACAAGTACAGAATGCAGCTGACCACAACAGCAACGCTCCCTCCCAGGCATACTACATCCTGCAGCAAGCTGGGATCAAGGTACCAGAACTGCCACAAGACCCCCAGGAGACGATGCCAGGGAGGCTGAGACTACCCTGAGATTGCCACATGCCTGTTCTCATATGCTGTCTCTAAGGAATACCTTTAGGGGCCAGAGCTCCCTACCAGAAGAAGACAGGTCCACCCCATTGTGCCAGCCAGGCAGTATGCAGGATGGAGGCCAAGCAACAGGGCAGCCTATGTGGTGGCACCTGCAGGTGGTAGCTCCTCCAGCTGATGCCTGCTCACCGCAGATACTCAGCTTTTTCAGAGAGGAAGCTTGCTTAGTTTTAGCTTTATAAGAGGTGTGGCACACACAAACATGCAAATGGGATTGGTAGAGTACTACATTTCTACCTAAGAAAATTCTTTTTCAAGAATACAAACAATTATTTCTAACCTGAAATTACCTACAGCTACCAAAACTAAGCTAATGGAAAGTTCCAGGGCCTCTGAGTGACTCCTCATCCAGGCTGACCTTTGCCTGCTCCCCAAGGGCAGAACTCCTCCCGAATGGATGGCATCCTTGGCCACAGCCCAGCTCACTGATGCGGGGCACCTCCAGCTGATGTGAAATTCAAATTTGATGAACACTAGAAAACCAGCAGTTTAGAAAATGACTGAATTTACTGAACAAGGTTCTTCTACATGAAGAAAGAGGAATGAGCTTTCATGAACTTGCAGTTGGCTGCTCAAGGAAGGGAAGGACAATGAGGGTGGAAGCTCCAGGGAGGAAACCAGCACCCAGGAGCAGCAGGGAAGAAGGGCAGCCTGCAGGGTGGTATGTGCTGGCATCAGAAGTATCCACTCTCAAGACAGGTGCAACCCAGCAGGTGCCCCAGTTCCACTGGCCCTTCCCAGCCCAGAACTCTCCATGGATATCTGGCCTCAGTCAATCCCAGTCCTGCCTTGGCTGGCATGTGGCTCTTCCACTCTCCCATGGGGACAAGAGTGCAAAAGTAGATAGCCTAGAGCCACCCAAGGAACAGGGGCCACCAGACTGCCCCCATCCAGCCATGCCTCAGATAGTCACCAACACTGCTATGGCAGGATGTCGCTCCATGGAGGGCTACAAGTGAGGCAGGCACATGCAGTGGTCCAGACACAGTGCCTACTGCACATTTTACTAGCCCAGGCTTGAGTGGGATGATGGAACCCTAGCTTTTACCTTCATTTGTTCATGTCCATTCCTTTCTCAATCCACGCTCTAACAGTGTGCTCTACTAGTGAGGGTTCATTGAGCCCAGTTCACAAAGAAGGGCTGTTGTTAACCAAGCACACCTGCCCTGCGAGAGGCATAAGGCATGAGAGATAGCACCAGGTCTTCCCAGCTAGACTACCATTTCTGCAAGGCAGGAGATTGCTTCCTTGGAGACTGGCAGTTGGGCCCTGCCCATGACCAGTATGGCATCTGTTAAGTGAGCAGTCAGATGCCAGAGCCCACCTCACTCACAAGAGATGCGGTGCTGGAGACTGGCACCTATACAGAGGATAGCCACAGTCCCTGGCCTGGCGCACTCTGCCTGCAATGCCAGCAGCTCATCCAGGGACAAAGTTTACAACTTGGGACCTGGAAAACAAAGAGCTCCAATATGTGCCTGGGAGGCAAGCAGCACCTTTCTAAGACAAACTGGCTCGAAATAGCTCTGGAAAAATGAAACATAGTTCTGGAACACCTGTCATTAAAGTAAGGTACTGAAACAGGGAAAATTAACCCTTTCTGCCCTGGCGGCTCTCCCCCTGACAAGGCCTCTGCGGAGCACCCTGACTCTGCCCGTTGTCTACAAGGCAGCCTGCCCGAAGGTATGCATGATGCAGCAGTAGGATGGAGCAGGATCCAGGACTGTCCCCTCTGTGACCTATAAACAGCCAGGATTGGACTGGAACCTGAACATAGTTGTCTCTCTCTGCAGAGCAAACTGGATACATCTGCAGTAGCACCAGCCCTGAGGAATGACCAGAAAACCCATCAGAGAAATAAACCTGCAGAGATGCGGGAAGGCTTGTTCATTAGTGCACAGCAGGAATTCTCCAGTGCCTCCCTATCCCACGTTGACTTTGAAAAGACAAGGCCTGCCCTCTACCCTTCAGGAGCTTGCAGCTTGTGAGAAAGGTAGAATGGACAAGTCATCTTTTGCCTCTGAGCTGGCTATATCGCCAGACTCACCAGCTATGAAACCTCTTGAGCACTTGGCTTTCTCTTATACCCAACACAGGCTCTGAACTCCTGCAGGAGCTCAAAGACAACCCCCACATCCATTATGTGGTGACATCAGCCACAGTATAAATCCACTAGGACCTTAGTGAGTACCCACTCCACTGGGCAGCCCAACACAGTCAGGCTAAGCTGGCTAAGGCCAACATAGCATCCATCCTAGAGCTACCTGGACAGTGTCCTTGCTCACTGCGAAGTAGCCATTTTTCACTAACTACATGCTTCTCTGTAAGTAGGTAATGAAGAGTGATAAACTGACTGGCCACCAGGTCTCCAGTCACCTTCTAATGTGCATAATGAATTTCTGGCAGAGCTGTCCCTTATTTTGAACATGGTAAAAAATGAACTGCTAAACTCTAGGCATGACTTTCAATTTATATACATCAGAGCTGTGAATGTATATGCAGAAAAGATTCATTTTTCCTATTTTATATGTAATTGTGAGCAGATGCTCTTTTACTGATAAAGGTAATTTGGTTAGCAATAATTCTGAAACTGAAATTTCCATTTCACTGAAAATAAGAGTATGCACATAATGAATGAGCAGGCAGATATAATTATTGTCATCTTTCAGGCTGAAAGACTTCTTTCACAACACACTGCCACAGAATCACCAAGAAGGGACTGTCCTGGGTTGGGGGCGGGGGTAGGGGTAGCCAAGGCCTGCTGAGTGATTTCCTCAGTGTATTCAATAGTAGACTCACAGGCTGAAGTGCTTGAAATGCCTTATCTATCTGACTGAAAGTG